AATGGTAATAGCAGAAATGAAACATAAGGCACAGGGGGGCCTCTACAGCTATCGACATTAAATCAAATTTTTTTTTTTTAAATGAAAATTTCAAGTAGGTAATTGGTCGATTTTCTCGTTGTTATGCATTGTATTTTAAAATTAATCAGAACCTTTTAGGCGTGGTGTTGCATTAATAAAAAATAACTTAGTTTTATGTTTAAATTACATACATACATACAGACTGCGATTAAACGATATAAACGCGACATTTCAATCAGTTTTCATGATTTTTTTTTTTTTTTTAAGTATAACCTATATAACCAAAACCGTAAAAATCCAAATTTTAATCTTTGTACAGAAATTAGCAAAATCAACAGTTTAATCAAATATAAAGGATTTTAACTATAATTTCTCGAAAAATGTTTGGTTTGCAGTTTTGTATCCAAATTGTAATATCCCTGCAAACCATTTTTTCAGAGTATTCTGCATTGTAAAGAAATTTTAAAGAATTCGTTAAGATTTAATTCGATTTTTTGCCGAATTTTCTAAAATGAAATAAATTACGCACACTTCCATTCTTTTACGAAATTTCGGAAGAAAATCTGTGAAGCAACGAAAATAATGGTGCTATGTGAAGAATATCTTTCAGAATTTTTCCAGAGTTTTCTTTATTTTTCGTACAGAAATTTCTTTACGAGTTCGTGTCAACCACTTCATATAGTTTTCTTTGAAAATTCGTAAAAAAATCGTTACAGAAATGAGATACTCCTAACGATTTCCTTAAGATTTCGGGAACTTTGGTTTGCAGGGATAGTGGATAAAAAATATCGATGGTAATAGAAATAAAAAACTATCGATACTATCGATAGCGCTATCGGTAGTTTGACAACTCTACTGTACATTAAATGCGGACCTCTATAGCGTGCGTATCCGTATGCGTGCGTTTAAAATTTAAGCCTCAAAGTCAAAGTCCATACAGCTTTCTTACGTTTTTATGCACTGTTACAACGCATTCCACCTATTTGTTGTTGTCATTGTGACAGCATGACATTTCACAAAGAGTTTCGACGTACGCTTCCTGTATTTTCAGATATAATCTGGGCAGTAACATTTAAGGCTCAGACTTAACTTACGTAAGAAATCACCTATGATTACTCAACTTAGCCAGAAGCGAAAATATATATATTTTTTCTTCTGGTATTTTCCTTTTCAGCTGATTGTCACTTTGCCGGGCACGATTACGATAACCGATAAAAAAATAACATTGAACACTAAATATCTTTAAAACTAGAAGGTTCCCCTTTGCCGCCTATAAGCCACATGAATTAATTCCTGAATAAAAATATATCGCATTGGGCAATATATTAGATTACGTTACGTAAATCAAGTCTAGACTAAATGAGCCTTTACATAATATACCACCCGACTGTCGTGGGCGCGCATTTTCTACAGTTTTATAGTGCTTTGTTTGTATTTGCAGTGATGCACTCTCCACTTAATAATTAGCAGAGGCGCATAGAATGCGACACCCTCATTTATTTTGTCCGCCAAACACTTGCTGCTGTTATCGTCACCGTATGTTATTTTTCTCTACAATTTTGGGAAATATCGGCTTTATTTTTTCGTAAATCTAGTTCATTCCGTTAACATAGAGCCCCCACAACTGTGAAACCTCCGGCACGAGCCCTGGAGCCACTGGGCGAAATCTTACCTTTTAAGTTGTTTCTAGGCTATTAAAACGCTAATTAGTTGTTGGCAAATCATGCATTGCATATTTATTACACATATCTCACAGTATT